GGCCCTGTGAAGGCATCGCCAGACACAGACAGCCCACCTCCCTGCACCCCTCACCAACCTCTCCACAAACGGGAAAATTATTCTGGGGCCACCAACTCCTGTTAGACATCAGAAATAATTTGTGTTTGGTGTGACGATCCTTGTGAATCTCAGAACTGATCTTGGCGCTCTTTAAGGCCTACAACCGAATTCAATCCTGCCGGTCCGTCCAATCGAAGTGTCCACTTGAAAGAAAGAAAGATAGGATCAGCTCCAAGCCTCTCCTGCTTTAGAAGGCCATAACTCTCACTTCCTGCCCTATAGGATCGGCTCCAAACATTTCCTGCTGACCCCCCCGAATTCTAAGCATTTTCAATCATATGAGCTGTATGCATTTCATCAATTATTCCACGGTGTGGGATACATCAGGAATAATTTATCCACATGTATGTGCATGACCCTGGAATAATAAGAAATTTATTCCAGGGTACCACCCACATGGTCCTCGCACAAGGGACCAGCCATATTGTTACACGCTGTACCAAAACCAGTCAAAGCATGTCAAAACCCATCCAACTTTCATGTTGTTGCTGAGTCTTGGCAGGCAGATGACTCAGCAACTGAGATGGGGCGATCTACATAGCGAGCAAAGATGGTCTGAACACCCAAATGGACCCTGAACATGAACCTGCGAAATGCATGGGAGACATGTTTTCTTTGGAACGTTATTACTACTATTTTTCTAGATGTGCTCAGTGCTCTTGCTGGTGTGTAGTGCAGCTGATAAATGATGATGGGCCCACACTCAAAGATGTGACAAGATTTGCAGCAGCAGTGAAGCAATTTAATTTGGTGCGGCGCCCTGTCCAGGCACCTGCTCAAGTGTTGAAGAATGGGGAGATTTCTTTGAACAACCAACACGCCAACCACAAGTCGGGCCTCAAGAAGGATTCACCAATTTTGGGGGAGTTTGAGCCAGGGTTTCATGGCAACGCCACATGATATTGACTGATATGATGCCTCGAAAGAACACGTGCGAACCGCGGCGTTCCTGTCGATTGATGGCTGCGCGCGACGTGTGAAAAGAGGTAAAAAACAGAGCACTGAATTGATGGCCTTTGGCCAGATTCGTTGCCATTTCCCTTACTTCTTCATCTGAAGTGTCGGCTTAGTTGATGAGATGTCTGATTCAGCGCTTTCGTTACTTCCACAGCACCGAGCAGCACCGCGCAGCATAGCTCGGCTCAAAAGGTGCCCAAACCACTCGCCCAGCGGTGCGAGTGACGCTTTCGATGCGAGAAACCACTCGCGAGTCCTCCGTGCCTGAACTCTTTCGCTGGCTCGAGGAGCGCTTGAAGGAGGAGCGTCAAAGCTTGGCGCAGCAACACGCGGTGATCCTCGATGAGCTGCGCTTTATGGCCAGCGACTTGAACCCTCCGCTCGGTCCCAACACCCTTCGCCAGGCTCCGGCGTTGAAGCCCCCGGAGCCGACCGAGTCGCCGGAACCGTCGCTCGGCCACGGCGGGCCCAGCAACCTCACCGGGTTGCCGGTCGACATCGATTCGCCGACCTTCATGAGAAGTCCAGGGCCTGGGTCGCCGACCTCTGTGACAGTCAAGGTGGAGGAGAAGGATCAAGGGTCAGCAACAGCTTCAAGGTCAAAGAGATTGGGCAAACGTGCAGCAACATTGAAGCAATCACTCTCCAAAGATGATATTTTGAAACCTTGGTGGCACCCCGATCGGGTCATCAAAACGTACACCTTCGAGATCTTCTTTGCATGCCTGATCTTCCTGCAGGCTGTGGCAATGGCCGTGGAGGTGCAGTATACGGGCTTCGGCTGGGGTTATCGCTTGCAATTCCCAGGCTATGAGCAACCAGCTTCAGATGTTTGGCCTAGCATACCTGCCTTTCTTCAGGGGGTGGAGATTTTTTTCGGCACGTTCTTTAGTGTTGAGGTGGTGCTGAAAATCAGTGGCCTTCGGAGAGCATACCTCAATGATCCCTGGAATTGGTTCTTGGCAAATTGCTAAAGAAGATTTTGTTGTTTCTTCTGTATTGCTGCTTGCAGGTCGTCAGCTTGCTAGTATGGTATCATGGTGACTCCTTCATTATGTGGGCAATGTGATCGATGATGTAGTCATTCTATATCTCTGAGCATTAGGAATTCATTTCACGACATTAGCCACATCATCGGCCCAAGTCGGAGTTGACTACAGTGACATGACACACATGACGCACATGTTTGTGTGGAGCCACGTATGATGATATATGCACACCTACCAAAGTATGTTCTGAGCCTTTTGTGTTCTGAGCCTTTTGTGCACACCAGGTTTGATTTCTTCTTGGTTGCGATGTGGCTAGCAGACATGGTCATCGCCTTTCCGGTGAACAGTTCGCAGTTGCGCTTGATCAGGTTAGTGAGACTTTTGCGATTGGTGAGGTTGGTACGGGTGGTGCGTGGCTTCGACTCCCTCATCGTTATGACCACTGCTTTGCAAGAAAGCGCAACTTAACAGCCAGAGGATCTAGAGTTCTAGAGTATCATATGCTAAAACATGCTAAAATCATTTTACAGCAACAATGAGCCTCCCCATTTTAAACACGAGTCATCTCTGATTCTACCTTGAGTCTCCAAAGACCTTTTCTTTCTGCGTTTTTGTTTCGGGTCCAATATTTTTGCCTTGTTTTGCTCGAAAAACGCATTTTTAGAGATGAGGACTCAAAAAAAGGTGCAGAGTGAATCTTCATCCGGACGCGTCCGGCACGGACGCTTACAGTAAAGACGCCTTTTGGACGCAAAAAGAAAAGTTTTGGACGCCGAAAAAAGGTCTCAGGACACTGTCTAAGGAGGATCTGACAGGGCACACACAAAAAAAGGAACATTTCGTGACATATGCAAAAAAGAGTGCTTTCTTTCAAAAACCTTTTTTCTTGGAAAGGCAAATTAAAGAGGGTCATTGGAGACTCAAGGTATATCTAGTTATTTTTGGAGGGTCTCGCGCAAAAGCGATGCCTTGAGTTCATTTTCGACGAAGAATGGGAGCCTTTACCCGAAATTCCTCAGCACAGATTCACAACCGTCACAACCAAAAGAAGTTGTACTCACTGTGCTCCATTCAGAGTTTCACTTGCATAATTACCTTGTTCAAGCTCGCTCAAACAGGCAAATGGCCTGTTTTGGGTGGCAGTCATCATGCTGGTGGTGCAGCTCCTTTTTGCCCTCCTTTTGAATCAAGTCTTGGCTACCATGGTCGCACAGCGTGACTTCGCACTGGAGGATGAGATTGTGCTCTTCGAACACTTTGGCACCTTCCCCCGGTCCATGTTGACCATGTTTCAGGTGACCTTAGGCACTTGGGTGCCGGTGGCCCGAGTTTTGCAGGAGATCGTCAGTCCAGCGATGAATATTTTCACAATCCTTCACAAGGTCACCATCGGCTTTGCATGCATTGGCGTCATCAATGGTGTTTTTATGCAGGAAACTTTGCGCGTCGCGCAGTCGGATGATGTGATCATGATGAGGGACGTGGGGCGAAGGGACCGGCTCCATGCGGAGAAGATGAAGGCTTTCTTTGAATTGAGCCACCAGACCATGGTTAGGAGTACTTTTGAACCTGTTTATGAGATGTAACAGTACTATTGAATATTATTGATAGTTAGTCCTGGTACTAGTCCTGGTTAGTATTTCCATATTTCCATTTGTGTGCTATTATGTATAGTATACACATATCAGAAAGGTTCTTGCACTTCACTCCTCAGTTCCAGGCAACCAATCGGGGGACACCATGATCAGCAGAGACCGATGGAAGCACGTCATGGAGAGTCCCAATACCAAGCAGTGGTTTGCAGCGCAAGGCTTGTCGATCGCAGATGCGGACGAGGTCTTCACATTGCTGGATGCGGATCGCAGTGACACCACGCTGGGGTGGTTTGGCACCCTTTTCCCCTTGTTTTATTAGATCTCAATGGATCACTCAGGCTTTGCGGGTGAAGCCTTCATTCTCAGGGATGTAATTCAAAGCATGCGATGTGCTGAAAGGTTTGCTTAAAGGTCGCCGTCCTCAATTAAGCTGGAAAGGGAAACAAAAGGGGGAGAGGATGAGAAGACCATATGAGCCAACAATATCGACTGCTTTCTGCAGCGCCTTTGGGGATCTACTTCATGGAGTGCCGTGCACCTACCTACCCTAAGTACTGTAATACCCGCTTTGAAAAATACAT